TCTATCATCTACCTACCTACCTACCTACCTACTTTATCTATCTATCTATCTATCTATCTATCTATCTATCTATCTATCTATCTATCTATCTATCTATCTATCTATCTATCTGTCTATTTGTCTATTTGTCTGTTTGTTTGTTTATTGATTTGATTTCATTTGATTTGATTTGTCAATCGTTTACAACAGAGGTCTCCCAAACCTGGCACCTTTAAGACTTGTGGACTTCATCTTCCAGATTTCTTCTATGCTGCTGGAGAATTCTGGGAGTTGAAGTCCACAAGTCTTAAAGGTGCCAAGTTTGGGAGACCTCTGGTTTATAAGATAATAGGTATAAGACAAAACGTGAGTATGAATGAAATGGGGGTACGAATAAATGGGGATGGTAGGCACAATCTGGGTGGGAGAGGGTTTGGAGCTTCCTCTAGGGTTCCTGGACCCCCCACTGCCACCCTCTTCATGGGGTTTGCAGGAGAGGAGGGGGAAGGGTCTCCATCTGTCTTCTTTCCACAGTGCGAGCAAGCCGTGCAGCAGTTGCAATCCGGAAAGGTCTCTTTTGATGCCCCCCAGATGTGTCAGGTGAGCGGGTCGGCTAGGGGCAGAGTGGGTGAATGGGTGGGTGGGCTATCGAAGGATCGGCCCCACCACTGCTTGTTTCTCCTAGAGATGCCGCACTGCCGGAGTGGAAATATCCCCAGCCGACCTGTCCCAGGTGCTCCGGATTCTGTCCTGGCTTTTTGGGTAAGTCTCCTCCCTCCCTTCTCTCTGCCAGCCAGGTCTCCCTGCCCTTTACTTTGGGCCATTGGACCCTTGGGGGAGCGGGGGAAGGTAGACATCCCCCAGGAGGGGGGGGGAGAGAGAAGATTGATACAAATTGCTGAAATAATTAATATTTAAGAATCCAATTTGATTTGTCTTGATTTTGGGGGTGGGGGGTTGTCTTACAGCACAGCAGCGAAAAATAAACTCACCTCCGAAGAATTTTCCGCCGACGTAGGCAAAAGGTTTGGTTTTCTGCCACAACAATCTGCCCAGGTCATCCAACAGGTGTGGAAGGAGAAAAGAGAATCTCTGATGGTATTGGAGGATGTAAAACCTATGGCAGCAGCCAGACAGGTAAGGAAGACAGGAAGTTTAAAAATGCTACGTATTAGATCAGTCTCCTTCCTGTGCAAATGTCCTTAGGTTTTATCCACCAACAACTGCCCAGTTTGGCCCCCAAACTTCCCAGGTGTCTTCCTGTTCTCACCAAGGCTTCCCAAGAGCATGCAGCAAACTCCTGGTTCTGACAAAAAACCCTTTTATTAATTTACTATGAATTCTGCTCATTGACATCCAGCGAAGTCTTTCAGGGGAGGATTTACAGTCACAAACCTTATCTGGCTTGGAGGGCTGCCAGGCCGATATCTGCAAAACTTGGCAAGGAATCTCGGAGAGTCACAAACCAATTAAGCAAACTAATTGTCTCCTGCAAACTTCATTCCCCTTTCTCTCCTCTTTTATTTCCTCTGGGAGGGGCCATTCATCGTCCACCTGTGGCCTTACTCCCAAGTCGACCCCTGTTCTTTAGCTGTTCCCTTCATCTGACAACTCTGTACATGGGCACAGTGAGAACAGGCTCCAGCTGTTCTTCTGCCTCACTGATGCCTCAACCTGAAGGCAGATGANCTATCTATCTATCTATCTATCTATCTATCTATCTATCTATCTATCATCTATCTATCTATCTATCTATCTATCTTTCTATCTATCTATCTATCTATCTATCTATCTATCTATCTATCTATCATCTTCATAGCTATCTTATCTATCTGGTCTGTCTGTCTGTCTCCTGGCTTTATTATGTTTACAGATAACTACAGATACTTTCCTCCTCCTACTTTCCCCACAACAACAATTCTAAGAGGTGAGTTGAACTGAGAGAGGGGAATTGGCCCAAAGTCACCCAGTTGGCTTTTCATGGTTAAGGCAAGACTTGAACTCAGGATCTCTTGCTTTCTCGCCTGGCGTCTTTGTGGTTGCAAGCACCGTGGCTATCTCAGTCACTCATGGATCAATAAGGGTAGACTGGTTGACTCAAGGGTAGACTCAAAGAAGATTGTCCTCTGTTGTTGGTATGGCTGTAAAGGAGAGACAAGTGCGCTTCCTAGACAAGACCTTTGTCCTTCCGGATCTTTTGCAATGTGGCAAGTATCCATGATGGATGTGGACCTTTCCTCAAAGGAAGCTTGAGAACTTTGACACAGAAGAGGTAAAATCATCGTAATTAATTTCTACGTTGGCACTTCTTTTACATGTCTTTCATTGCTCTTGTTGTCGTTTTCCCCGTTTCCTTAATATCAGAAGAATCTCACCTTTTGATCAGACTGTCTTCTCTTCAATAATCTGAGCAGTCTCTCTCTCTCCATTCCGGAAAAGTGAAGTTGCTTGCAAGAAGTTGACTCCCTACATGCAATATGGCAGACCTAAGCGATGAGAGAGCGAAAGACTTTTGAGATGGAATGACTCCAAATAAATTGGTCCTTTGCTATGAGAGAAATTCCTTGCAAGATTTCTCACTCTTAAAACTCCAATTCCCAGCATCCAATCATGGCTCAGCAAATTCTGTGATAAAAGTCACGACTTTTGTAAGCTTTCACTTTAAAATTCAAGTACGTTTGGGACGTACCAATTATCAGCTGCCTTCAGAGTCACACATCAGTGAGGCAGAGGACCAGCTGGAGCCTGTTCCCAATGTGCGCATGCACAGAGCTGCCAGATGAAGGGAACAGCTAAAGAACAGGGGTCGACTTGGGAGTAAGGCCACAGGTGGGCAATTAATGGCCCCTCCCAGAGGAAATAAAAGAGGAGCGAAAGGGGAGTTGAGTTTGCAGGAGACAATTAGTTTGCTTAATTGGTTCGTAACTCTCCGAGACTTCCTGCCAAGTTTTGCAGATATTGGCCTGGCAGCTCTCCAAGCCAGATAAGGTCTGTGACCGTAAATCCTCCCTTGAAAGAGTTTGCTGAATGTGAATGAGCAGAATTCATAGTAAATTAATAAAAGGGGTTTTTGTTGGGACAAGGAGCTTGCTTCATGCTCTTGGGAAGCCTCGGTCAGAACAATATCTTGGAATTGGTATGCTGTTGTTGCTAGTGGGCACCAGGTTGGGGAAAGCCAAAGTTATGTAATGGAGGTAGTTCTTGACTTACAACCACAATTGAGCCCAACATTTCTGTTGCTAAGCGAGACAGTTGTTAAGTTTTGCCCCATTTTATGACCTTTCTTGCCACTGTTGTTAAGTGAATCACTGCAGTTAGTAAGTTAGTAACTGGCTGTTAAGTGAATCTGGCTTCCCCAACTAACTGCTTCTCAGAAACTTGGAAATGATGGTCACATGATCCCTAGGACACCGCAACCATCATAAATATGAACTAGTTGCCAAGCACCCAAATTTTTATCATGTTGTTGCAGAAAATGACAGGCTTTAGACTTCTCAGGATACAGG